ACTGGATAGCTGGCCAATCAGAGCACACCTCGCTTTGACCAATGAGCTTTATAAAAATCGACGCGTTTCAGAAAGGCGGGGCATAGAGAAGAAACAATAATGTGCAGTATGTGGAAAATAATGTGTGTTTTTTTAACCTTAAACCACAAACATTTCATTACACCAAATACAAAAAATAAATGTTCTTTTTAGGAACATGACCCCTTAAATTTTTCCTTGATATTTCCATATTTTCCATAATAGTGGGAACCCTTAAATAAGCAAGATTATGATTAGTATGTGTCATTCAACAGGAAAGTCACAAGGATGTCAGTCTTTTTTTTCTTCTTTTTTGTCTTCTAAATAGGTCAGCTTATCAAGGCTGTAAAGCTATTGGTTATTCTGCTGACTTTCCATGATAGTGACAGATAGCGGGGCTCATGACTGTTTCAGACATTAGCTGGGTGAGATAAGACTCTCAAACTTGAAAGATAGCATCAAAACAAAGTTAAGAGAATGAGACAACTGAATAGAGGGGAAAATCTAACCATAGATTTTTACTTTACCTAACTTTAAGTCTCAGTTTTTATTTGCAGAACTGATGAGAGACATTCATCTCTCATATGATATAGGGCTGTCACGATTCCTCGATTCAATTTGAATACTCAATTTAAAAAAAATCCTCAAATGCAATTTGCCCGCGTTGAGTAAGGTAAATCATTTATAAACCTACGCAAACACACGGGAAGACACATCAATATCTTTCTGAACATGTTAACTGTTCATCGCGACTTCAAAATAAAAGCTCAAACCCCGCTGAGACAAAATACAGATACTTGGTTCACTAGAACAAGACAATATTTCAATACTATTTTAAAGAAATTTTCAATGACAAAATATTTGTTTTTTAATTACAAAAAGTAAAAAAATGCAGTTGTATTTTGAAATATTTTAACTAATCTAGGGCTGTAACTAATTATTATTTTGACAACTGAGTGATCTAATATTTTTTAGTAACACAAATAGACCTAAGTGAAAACCAGGCTTCTGACTATTTATATATAACCTAACGATGAGGCAATAATAATTGGCGCAAATAAAATATCAAAACCAAGTAATTACATGATTTTATTGAACAACACTGTTAAAATACATAATGTAATATGCCTATACATAATATGAACATAACCAACTTAAAGGCACAATATGTATAAAATTTTTATTAAAATATCCAAAAACCACTAGAACAGTGTTACATATTTTGTGTACGGACATTATCCCAAATGTTTCAAAGAAGTTTAAATCCTGAGAAATAAGCAATTTTAACTAGTGACACGGACCGTGTCTATAGTGTCATTGTGTCGTCTGCCAATGACGTCATAACCCCTCGATTTCTGGTTTTGTTTTGTAGAAAACATGGAAACACCAAAGACACTTTAATATGTTGTGCGTTTTAATAGACCAGTGACGACCGCACAGAGTAGCATTATAACAGAACTTTCAAAGGTATCTAGTATGATAAAACAGCGCTGCTTTTTTTCCCCACATACGCACGACCAGAAGGAGCGGAAGCGGTCGACTGTGGCATAATAAAAGCTCCGCTGCTTTCGAGCCGTGTGTCACGCTCGTTCAGCGGCCTCGTTTCGCTTCGACGGCTTTCAGCCTCACCCTGCTTCATTCTACTACGTTAATAAATCATTAGCTCATCCATGAACATGATTTCTGCCCGAGTCCCGTCGGATTACATCGGCTGTGGGGATGAAGACCACAACTCCCATGTTTCCACACTCACAGCATCATCAAACTATGCCTTTGTCTCTTTTGAATATGTTTCCTCTAGGGCGAAAATTACTTTTTGTGCCTTTAAGTACATTATGTATTATAACAAATACCTGCAGAGGGCGTTACATTTGACTCTTTGGCCACATGAAAACTCAGAAACTTTTATTTTGAAATCGTGATGCACAATAAATGGCATATTTAGAAATAGGTTGATCTATTCTCCTGTGTTGGCAAAGGTTCATAAATGATTTATGCTACAAATCTAGTGAGATAATGCACACTGTTTTTCCAGATGAACGTTAAGATATTCAAATTCACAGCATATGCAGAGGAAGAGTTTAGCCCCTTTCACACACAGTCTTTACTGGTAAATTACCAATAAGTTACCATTAAGAGATCATTGTGTGAACAGGACCTTTTAAAATATCCCGCTAAATTTGTTCTGGCGATCATATCGTTCTTATGGAGATGACATGATTACTCTGAGCTGTTTACAAAGCTCCACTGCTTTTTAATTAGTTTTCCTATATAAATATGCACCTTTGAACATTGCACCTCGCAGCTTATTTATTAACGTGTCGTGCTTCTCCATTCATCAGGGCTGCGACTCTGAATTGGGTACTATTATGCGCGTCTCGTGTTTATAAGAGCAAAACATTCTGATTGGCTAGTAATGTTAGTTTGGGTGAGAGTGAAAGCTGTGCTCCTCTCATACCATTGGTAGGCAAACTCATGGACTCGAAAGTGATTTCAACAAGTTTTTTTTCCTGCAGCCAAACGCTGCACGCCGGAGATCCGGCACAGTGCCGGAGAACTTTAAGCCTTGCATTATATATTTTAACAGTTTTGCTCAATAAAACCATTTTGAACCAAGATTACTCGCTTTTGATACTTTATTTGAGCTAATTATTTTTGCATCATTGCTATTATATGTGTATTTTAGGTATTTTAATTTTAAAGGCTATTGTTCACTTGGGTCTATTTTTTATTACCACAAAGAAATTAATATAATTATCCGATTATTCGATTAATCATCAAAATAATCGTCCGATTACTCGATTACCTAAATAATCGTTAGTGACAGCCCTACTCTCATATATACAAAAAAATATACAAATCTTATGGTTTAAGATATTTAAAGCAATGTAACAGAATAAAACAAACAGCATTTTTCTAGATTTTCACAGTTAATTTTTGTTTTCGAAACAAACCTCTAAATCAAAATGAATCAAGGGAGCAAACATTTCTTTCACTCCACCTACAACAATACCTTTAAACCTTGCCAGGGCAGACTGCCTCGTAGGAAGTACATAAACATATGACCCAGCGCCTCCAAATCGTCCCGTCTGCTTTGCTCTGCAAGATAAAAAGACTTATGAAACTTCTAGCTACACTAGAATCTGTCTTCAGTCAGACAAGAAACTTAATTCAATGTGCAAAATTATTTTTATGAATTTAGCATGAATAAACAAAAAAAGCCAAACTCCTTAGCCAAAAAGAGCACCTGCATCTTACCAATACATCATGATTAAATCCAAGTGCTGTGCCTGAGCATGCAGAGATTTGTGTCACTAACAGCTAAGCTAGGTTTTAAGGCGTACTTTAGTCTTTATCCCCCCATTAAAATTCTAACAACCCTAAGCCCTGACAGAGCGAATCTTCCCCGTGTGTGTGGCTCTTACCCTTCCCCAGGTGTGTGTTGATGCTCATGTAGCGAGCTGTCCCTGTCAAGCTCTTGTGCTCCCTGTATGGGATATGTTTTTTGGTCTCAGGGTCAATGTATTCTTTGGCAAGCCCAAAGTCGATGATGTGGATTGTATGTTGCCTCTTGGTCCCTGGCCGGCCCACCAAAAAGTTCTCTGGCTTAACGTCCCTGTAGATCAGACTTCTTGTGTGCACATACTCCATCCGTGTGATCTATGATAGAGGTATATGTCATGTTGGAACTAATAAATTAAATTATTTTCTTTGTCTCATATAAGTGAGAGATAACACTGACCAGCTGAATTGCGATCATCAGGACAGTCTTGAGGGAAAAGGTTCTGTCACAGAGGTCAAACAGGTCCTCCAGACTGGGGCCCAGGAGCTCCAGCACCATGGCATTGTATTTCCCACAAGGCCCAAAGTAGTACACCTGAGGAACACCCTCTGAACACGTATATATGCAGTTAGAAAACAGATCCACAGAGCTCTGAAATATAAGTACAAACTGGCAATTTAGCACAGCATTAACTAAAATGAGGTTACATAATAAGATTACATAAAGACAAGGAACGATAATCTTTTGTTATGTGGTGTTCGGCATTCTTAGATGTTTTAGGAGTGATTATTAGGTCATATGAGGTAGACATGAATCTATTTTAAGACATTTGATGTACGCTACATTTTTGTGTATGGTAGGTATTATAGGGCAACAGATTTAAGGTACAGACTCTGAATGGGCTGGGAAATCTATTAGGTGCATATGAACACGGTGTATACAAGTGTTTCTTGCACACTAGTGTTGTCAAAAGTACCGATGTCGGTGCTGACATTTGAAAAAATGTGACGATGCCAGCATTTCCCGTAGGGCTGCGATTGTAAATATCGCAATATGCATATCGGAAAGGCATGCGATATCTGAATCATTTTAATAATAGTCTACCTCTATCAAAATGTTGCAAAAGCTCAAAGTTTTAAGTCGATGCATATAGCAGAGAATTGCTTGAAATGAAAGTGTTATCAAGTCCAGTAAGTTGCAGAAAACAACTCTTTGCCGTCTCGTCTTACACACACTTGAAGTGCGCGCACAAGCCGTATCTCGGACAGCGTCTCTTCCGTTTTCTGTGCGCATAGCCGCTGCACACGTGCAAAGAGACGCGTTTCAGACAGCACGCGAACACCGAGTTGATTCGTCTTTCGCATCTTCTCATGTCTGAACTATGCAACGATTATAGATTTTGTTGGTACAATTATTGTCTGAGGAATAATCACGGTTATGACGATTATTATGCATTTATTAATTTCACAAAATTAATAATGTATAAAATAACATGGACACGCTTTAGATAATAAAGTGTTATTTATTGCTGCCTTTAGAAACAGAAATATCACAGTAACCAATAATACAGCACAAAATAATAATAAAGACAAACAAATGTATCTCTCTCCAATTGGAATTAAAAAGGTGACCTCTGCTCTGTAAACATCCATGTCAGTATTTGCCTTTTGAAAATAACTAATGAAAATAGATCACAAAAGTATTGTGTTTTCAATTTGAACATTCTTCACATTTCTTTTGGACCTGAGGCAGAAAACTGGAAACATGGTGAAAAAAAAAATCTTGTTGGTTTTTGACTTATGCATAATACTATAAAAGGGATAATATATACAGTGCACAGCATAAATGAGTACACCCCTCTGAAACTTAAATTCAGCAATTACTCTTTGCGTAGAAGACGTGTTGTGTTTTTTTAGAGATATAATATTCCAGCAAGTCTGCTTGATCAGTTACCAAAGAAGAATGTTAAAATTATTCAAGAAAATACAATTTTCTTATCAAAGTGATAAAATGTTGTGTTGCAAAAATGAGTACACCCTCCTGAAAGTTACTAAATAAAACTAAAAGAAAAAAAAATCTGGTGTAAGGTTAAGGCAAGTATTGATCAACAGGTATGTTGAACCAAAACTGTTAAAGGCAAGTAATTTATTGATAATTAAGTGTTTTATGGCCCACTGAATCATACTCAGACTTAATGCTGACAACAATGAAACCACTTGAGAGAACTCTCAGGAGATTTATTTCTTAGCATAAAAGAGGACAATGGTACAAAAGGAATACCAAATTATAGTTTTAAGTGTGAAAATATAGCCAAAGTAACACAGAAATTCAAAAACAATGGACTTCTGAAAAGGCCCCTGAAATAATCAGGTCTTCACTTTAAGCTTTCATTTGGTGATGAGTGAGTTTTTGCTAGAAAAAGAGCCGGCAAAAGCTGTGAAAAGAGTGACACTTTATCTCACAGAGTAAGATGCAGCCTGCAGAAGTGACATGCATGGTTGTTTATCCACACCAGAACTACCGACTGTAGCCAAAGCACAATAAACTCATTTAGCTTTTTCCAAGGCCCATATTTACAAAATATAGACTTCTGGGAATCCATACTCTGGTCTCATGAGACTAATTCAATCATTTCGAATCTAACAGCATCCAAAATGTTCTGGTGTTGCTAGAGGAGGAGTACAGAGAGAAGTGCCTGGTTCCCACAGTGACATTCAGTGGTAGTTAAGCTCTTCTATAGGGATGTATGAGTGCTGAAGGTGTGAGTTTTTTAACATGACAATGAAGATATTCATTCTCCTGAGCTGAAAATCCTTCAGTGGACATGTATTTCAAATACCTGTCAAATTTCAAATAATATTTCAAATATGTCTTAACACTCTTGAGCTGCTGTGAGAGATTCTGTAGAGATGAGCTGAGCAACACTCCCCATTAAAGACCAGGGCATGTAAAGAGGTTGTCCTCCAGGAGTTAAACAGCACAGATGTGAAAAT